CCGGTTCTTTTATTGATTAGCCTTCATTTGAGTCTTGTGCAATAACTCCTGACTAGAATGCAGTTGTGCCTTCCTGGGAAGAAACCCTCATAGGTGGTGTCTTTTGAGACACCTTACCTGGGGACACCACTCTAGCCTTCTTTCTTGATGATGTTGACCTTGATTATTTTGTGAAGGTATCCATGAGTTTCTGTCATGAAATTTCTATTTATTTTTACTGCAAGTAAATACATATTTTTTGGAAAATACTTCAAGGTGATAAGACTATTTTGTATCTCCTTAAACTTTAAATTTTACCATTTGTTAGATTTGTCTGTAGAATTTACTATGGTCTTTATATAATGGATCTCCTTTGATTCCTTTTGTTGCTTTTAGAATTTCTATCTGTGTTTTCCACTAATTTGACTACACTATATGTCTTAGAGGCATGTGTGGGTAGCTGTGAGTGTGAGTGTGTCCCTGTGTGTCCTATTTGGAATTCAGTGACTTCCCTGAATTTGCAAGCTGAATTTTCTATCACATTTAGAAAGCTTTTCAGTATCTAAATACATTAATGCTTTAACTATCTTCTTATTCTTTCCCATCCCTTTTCTGGGACATTAATCATGGCTATGGGATGCTTGTTTGTTTCCAGGGATCACTGAAGCTCTAGGCAGTGGTTTTAGGTTTGTTGTTTGTTCGTTTTTGTTTTTTCTCACTGTGCTTTTGGGGATGAAGACTAAACAGTGTCTTCCCAACTCTGGATTGTGCTGAAGGCCTAAACTCTGATATGACTCTATGTGGAGATCTGATCTGACTATTATGTTAATAAAGTCATAAAAGTAGAACTCTGATCTGACAAGTCATGTGACCTTATAGGAAAAGAAGAAAACCCCAAAGACCTACAGATGTGTGTATAGGTCAGATGCCACAGCAGGACACAGTGGGAAGGTGGACATATACAAATCAGGAACCAACATTGACAGAACCTCCAACTGTGAGGATATAAATTTTTGTTGTTTAAGCCATCTTGTCTGTGATACCTAGCTATGCTAACATGGATACACTGATATTTCTAGCTTATTTCTAGACCATGTTATCTTTGTTTGTATATTTGCATATATACATTACATTTTATCTTTTCTCTATACCCACTTCAGCATCTGTTACGTTTTCCATAAAATACTTGAGTATACTTATAACTGCTTTTAAATCTTTTTCTGATATCATTCACTCTCATTCCTGGGTCTAGTTTTCTTACTGGCTTTCTCTTTATTTTTGCTCACATTTTCTTCTTATGTGACTAGTACTTTATTTCTAAAATTACACTAATTCATTTATTGTGGAAAAGGAGCATGGGTAGTATTATTTGTGTCAAAGCATATCAGTAGAAGACAGAGGACAGTTTGGGGGATTGTGTCCCCTGCTTCCCAGCGACCAAACTTTGGTTGTCAGCCTTGAAGATAAGCACATTTACCTGCTGAGCAATCCTACCAGGTTCTTTTTATCTGGTATTTTCTGACTGAGTCCTAGACAGGGGTTGATTTTGTTCTCTTCCTATGAGACTCTTTTCTGGCCTCAGCTAAATGACTTAGGGAGTAATTCTCCAGGATTGTTTCAAGTTTCACAGACTAACCTTTCCCTGCGGACTAGTTCAGCACTTGTCATAAGGCAGGACCTGGAGGACTTGCTAAATGCCCTAAGGTATAAAGAGAAGTTTCTCCACCCTGACCAAATGCAGTCATCTCCCATCACAGAGCTTTTTAATCTGCTTATAGACCCTGTCATTCTTTTCATAGCACTATGATGTCTCACCTCCTGCATACATTACCTAACACTCTAGGGGAGACAGAGGGGAGCCCTGCAGAGGCCAGAAGCTTTGTCTCTGTGTAGTAATCTCCTCCCTGGTATTTTGGTCTAAATGCTCTGGCGAAGTCCACCTGGTAACCTGTAACTCTTCAATTCAGCCAGATGGCCACACTCAGACCAGCATCCTGTTCTCTACAGCGCAGCACCTAATGGTTTCAGGCAGAAAGGCAAATGATTACTGAGCTTGACTCACTAGCTTTCTTTCTGTAACTTCTATTTTGTCTATTTTACTAATTATTTCAGAGAAGGAGCAAATTTGAATCCAAGTTAGTTCATTGCCTAAAAGCAGAAGTCATGATTTATATTAATTTAATATAAACAAGACACAAGATTCAGAAATTGCAAGTGAAATAACAGAAACTCTCTGTGTGTGTGTGTGTGTGTGTGTGTGTGTGATAATGAGAATAAAATCCAGAGTGTAATGCACGTTAGACAAGCATTCTACCACTAGCTATAACCCAGCCCTTTTCTTACTTTTAGCTTTGAGATAATTCCCTAGATTGGCCTTCAGTTCCTACTGTATCCCAGGCATAGCCTCCAGACTCAGCATCCAAAATATCCAAGAAGAAGAAAGACACAATTTAAGAGTCAGAGAAAATCACATTGTAATTGTGGTTCATCTAATAAAAGGGTGTATCTCATAATATTTTGTAAAGATAATTCATCATATTCAACCAGATTGTAACATGCTATAGAAACTTAAAATTCACATTTATATTTATTTCAAAGTCCAAAAATTGATTTAAAATGTAAAGTACAGATAACCTTACAAAGCCAACATAGTCCCTAACTAGATTCTAAATATTTATCCTTATGCTCACAGATAAGCACAGTCCTCACCCTTCATCAAGGAAACTTCTCTTTGTAACAGACAGAGACCACCCAAAAAAATAATAAAAAAAATAAAAACCACAATGGAGCTGAGTGCAGAGTTGTAGATCCCAGTCCTAACTCAAACATCTACAACCCAACTCCTGAATCTAAGGTTCAAAGGTCATTGAGGAAGTGGGGAGGAGATGCACGAAGCAGGATGCTCTTACAGGAAGCCAGGCGAATGGGGAGTTTGCTGTGAGTTTCTGTCTCTAAGAAATGTCAAAGACACTTCCATCCTTGAAGCTTCACCAACATGACTGCCTGAACATGAACGGAACAAGGATAGCAGGGAAGCTCCTGATGCTTGAAGCCTAGACAAAAAACTACAGACAGCTGAGGAAGGCTGAGCGAGGGAGAGATAGTCTTCTCCACAGAAGAGCACACCAATTGGTTACACAGTACCTAATATTCAGCCTTGAAAATATACGCACAAGTAACATTATACAGACTGAGCAGGGTGTGTGTGTGTGTGTGTGTGCATGTATAATATATGCATACATATATATACAGATATACACTAGCACACACACACACACATGTAACAACAATTAAAGAAAAAAAAGAAGCCTTAAATTTGAGAGAAAGCAAGGTAAGGTGTTCATGGGAGGCATTGGAGGGAGGAAAGGGAAGAGTTTAAATGATGTAATTTTCCTATAATTTCAATTTTTAAAAATATAATAAAATTCGTAAGGATAATGAAAGTCTTGCTCTAGGACAGCAGAGTTTCTTCAAGTTATAATTAATTTTTAAAGACATTTATTCAATATAATGATAACAATATAATGTTGCATAGTTTATATTTCTACCAAGAGACCATAAACTGTCTGGAAATATTAATAATAACAGAAAATTTTCAAAAATGAATGAATTATGCATATTTTAACTTCATTCATTCAGATATTATTATCTCACCCACAGAATATGAATCATAATAGAATCATAAGTACAGTCATCTTTATATTTTTATAACTCTTATGCATCTAAGAATTACATTGTAGTATTTTTTAAAATTTCATCAAAATATGCTGTATAGCAATTTATTAGCTTTGTTGGTAACTTTTAGGATATTTAGACTTCTGTCAGGCTGATTCCATTTGAAAGCCTGCCCTGGCCCCTGCTGGGAGTAGAACTCTTGCCATTGGACAAATGCTCAGTGGCAGTGCTTCCTATTCCTCTGCCTCCACACTGAAAAACTGGGGACAGCCACAGTCTCTACCACTCGTTAGCCCTGAAGTACACCACTGTGTGTAGATCATGGCTCACCTGGTACTCCAAGGGGAGTCCTGCTGTCTTTCATCCCTGGCTAGCTACTCTGGACTCAGACTCCCTTCGTTGAGACTGTGTGGATATTGGCTAGTCCAGATACAACACACTTTCTTGAGCTTCATTGGCCAATGTTGCACCCACCTTTAATGCCACCAGCAAAATTAGAGGCTCGGGATGCACAGATGTGTGTCCCACCTCTGCAAAGCCAAGAGCTTCCCATCGTCCTCCAAGCTCCTATAACTAGTTCCCAGCAGCTGCCCCAGTATAAGTACCATGAACGTGGTGACAAACAATCACTGAGATGAGCCCTCTTACAAATCAGGGGGCCAGAAGTAGGACATTGGTTCCCTGAGGCTGAAATCAGACTGTTGGCAGCTACATTCCCTCTGACGGTTATAGGAAGTGACAACCGGCCCCTGATCCTTCCAGCTCCTCATGGCTACCATTGTTTCTTGGTTTGAGCCTGCATTATTCCAATATCTGTCTCGCTTCCTCATTGCGTCCTCATTCCGTTGCATGGCATCGTATTTCCTGTGCCTTCCTCTTCTAAATCCATATTATTACATTTAAATCCACCTATGTAACCCAGGAAAATCTATCACACGACCATTGACTGAACCACAGCTACGATGTCGCTTTCCCCATATAGATCATAGCTATAGGACTCAGGAATGAGGACTTTGCTCATACTACAATCAAAATTGTCTCCATAGTTTTTCTCCCAACTCAAAGTCTAGAGGTGAGATTTTTCTTGAAGAAGGTAAGAATGTCACTGATGTTCAAAATGTCATATCTTGGCCAGGCAGTGGTGGCATGCACCTTTAATCCCAGCACTCAGGAAGCAGAGGCAGGTGGATCTACAGAGCAAGTTCTAGGATAGCTAAGGTTGTTACATGGAGAAACTTTGTCTTGAAAAACAAACAAAACCGAAGTCATATCTCAGCTCCCAGAATGACTTTTCCTCAAAAGAATGTTCTACCCTGCTCAGTGATATATCTTTGTTTCTTTTTTAGTTCCAAAAACAAAATGATGAAATAGAATCACAGAACCAAACACTGGAACATAGGTGAGTCTTTACTATGTTTATTTTGTTAGAATTCCACATTGTGATGAATGTCATTTGATTTTTAAATTTCTCTTTCTCCTATGAATTCCACAAGCGGCAGTGTATTCAGTCACCCTGTAGACTAGCTTGTTAGAATACTGAGCCTCATCCATACTCATCACCCTATCTCACCACAGAACTGAAGGGACGCTTGTCAATGAAAACACACTACATAAATGGAAGTGTCTTTGGAAACGGAAAATAGAAATCCCTTCTTCTGGTCATTCATACATTTGTTTGCTCATTTGTTTTTTAATTCAGTGTCTAGCTGTGAAGCCCAGACTAGTCTTGAATCCATCCGCCTTAGCCTGCTAGATACCAGGATTATGGATCCCCCTTCAAGGCCACATTCTCCTATGTTAAATGGTTGGTAATGATTACCCTTTGGAACAGTATTTTTAAGGAAGGAAAGCTGGGCTTTTACCCCTTTGTCATTAGCTGGTGGTGCAGCCAGAGAGACAGAATCTCACCTCCCAGTCTGCCCTTCCTCACTGGCCCCATGTGGACACAGACACCAATAGATGACTTAGGACTGGTAGGGAACTAAGCAATCAGCACACAAAGGCACAGTGTAGTGCGATACAGAACCATGACCACACCGGATGCTTCCTTACCAGTAACCCTCCAAGAAGGGCACCGTTACCACCAGCTTTACAAAGAGGCAAAGAGACATAAGAGACACGCCATCGCAAACGGCATTCTCCTAGGAAGCAGCAGCCTGCCATTCACACCTGAGTCCAGTTTAGATTCTACCTTAGCGACAAAAGATCACTATCGGCCATTCAGTGCAGGGGGACTGGAAACAAGCCCTCTTTTCCCCTTAGAAGGAGATTCTGCTTCTGCCCTGCATTGAGGGCCCCAGGACAAAGCATATTAAGGTTGTGTAAGTGATTTTTTTAAAAGGCTGTAAACAATGGCCTAAAAAAGGACATGATTTGTTTGAATTTGCTTTCTATTTACAGATTGTTTTTGGCTTATTCTCCAAGTTCTACATATTTATCCCAAAATATTCATATGATAATTAAATGGTAACCGGCGCTATAACAATGATAGTCATTATTTCAGTTATTGTTTTAACAATATCACTTTCTTGGGCTATTTAGAATAACTCCCACTGAGGAGAGCAGTTGTTTGCTGTAATGGTGCCCGGCAGTTGGGCAGCTTTGCGATGTTTATAGGACCCTTCCCACAGTCCTCTCCGTTTAGCCTCCTATCAACAATACACCACACAAGAGGAATATGAGCCCTAGCAATCCTGGGGTTCACACAAGGCCACATGGTTCCAGCATTTAACCTTCCTTCTTGTGGTTAAAAAGGAAGTAGGTTGACTTATGTAAGACCAACTGCACAGAAATTCTCAATAACAATATTCTAAGAAAACCCTAGAAAAGCAAGTGTGATATAAAGGGGCATTACCAAAGGAAAGAGAGACACAAGAAAATTCTGGAAGGCCTAGTCTTCCACAGTCAGGTTTGAATCCCAAGGCTTGGGAGTGAGGGGTTTGTGTCTGTTTTAATTTCTTTCTGCCCTGTCAGATGCTAATGAGGACAGGAGTCCTGTCCTTGGTGCTCACCCCTGGGTTCCTAGCATCCAGCCCCAGGTCTGATGGATACGTGTCTCAACCAAAGCCACTGAGCTTCTCCCATGAGCCATGGCTCCAACAGCTTGCAGAGTGTACCAAACGAGAAGCAGTGTGAAAGATGGGGAGCTGGAACGAAAGCAGAAACATTAACTTCTCAGTAGAGTGGTACCATGTCCGTCTCCTGCTGCGCAATGGCACCGAACCCTTCCCAGAGCACATTGACCTGCACAGGCAAGCTGCAGTGTAGACAGGAAGGGGCGTTTGACTGGGTACTGTCATTTGCAAGCAGGCAGTGGCACTGAGATGGAAAACAGCATTGCTGTGCTGACTTTAAACCATCATGTCTCACTTTTAAGGACTTGGTGTCCCGTCCACATTGCTCCACTTACAAAATGTGTTCTTAAAAAGAATAAACATCTCTGTTTGTTGAGCAAAAGCAAAAAGAGGGTTAGTAAACACACATTCATTTGAGTCCTCTCCATGGAAGGTTCCCAGCCGACTGCTCTGGAAAGACATTATCAACAAAAGAATTAAAAATACAGCACCCAGACCTCCCTCTCCTGATCCTTCTTTTTATCTTCAGTGCAGAAACAGGGCCCATTGGACAGAAGGGCCTTTTCTGCAGGGTCAGGCAGCCCTAATGTCAGCTCCAGTGCTGTCACTTATAATCAATAAACCTGATACCCTCATCCACATGGAATCCATACAAAGCACTAAGAAAAGCACCCTGTTCCCAGTAGGCACCAAACAGAGGCCACCCATAAACCTCCATTAGCACTATTGGTGATCTACCCTATGCCAGGCGCTTTCAGAGACCCTGCAGATGAAAGCGTCCACAATGCCTTGGATTGGGGATGTCATTGTTAAGGAAGATATATAAACACATAGTCATTCAAGGAAATGGATACAACATGGCTGGAGAGCTAGGGGATGGCACTTGGGGAAAGGGTGCCTCGGCTGACTCTATATAGGTGGAAAAAGCAACCACGCCCACACAAATAACAGAGGCACTTTGGACAGCAAGCCAATCAAAAGGCTTGAAACCTAAAACAGCACAGGCTAGGGAAGAACCAGAGGGGTTGGAGAGTGTGGGGAGGCAGGGGTGAGCTAAAGACAGATGGGAGATGGACCCAGAAAGGTAGGCACAGGCAGATCAAGTGCTTTGGTACCATTTAAAGCTGTATTCATTTTGTACAGTTGCTGTAACAAACGACCACAAACAGGGTGGCTTAAAACAATAGAAATTGTTCTAACCACAGTAATTAAGACAATCCAAAACTAGGGTATTTGCAGGCTTAATTCTTCAGGAAACTGTGAGGAGACAGTTGTGTCAGACTTCTGACTGTCATCATCCCAATCCCTCCCTCCATCGTCACATAGCTTTCTCCCTACAAAGGTCCTTGGCCAATGACCCATGTCCAAGTTCCCCCTTCTGCAAGAACAGCAGTCTTTAGAATAAAGCCCCAATCCATTATTACCTTATTTCAAGGTACAAAAACATTTATTTCAAATAAGGTCCACAATGACGGTTACTAGACCTTAGACCTTAACTACCCGGGGGAGACACGGATAATGGGGAGCTATAGTAAAGGGTTGGTTTGTGGAGGTCCTGCATGCTCTGCAGGTTAGAGGGATGACTGGAGATCTTGTCCTGTGTTTCTGTCATTTGCTCTCTACACAGCTCACAGTCAAACATGCAGCACACCCACATATCTTTTTTATTTATTCTGAGTGCCTACAGGGTACCACAGTCTAAATTTGATAAGCATTCTCTGTGACCACTTGGCACTTTCTTGATCTACATGTGTCAGTCAGAATCCTAACAGGAGACAGGTGGTGTTCTCAAAGAGGACAATTCAAGAACTCCTTTATAGTGGGACTGTTTGCAGAGGTTGGGGGTCGAGAAGGGAAGCAGCTGATACGGGACCCAGGAGCCTGTAACGGGAGTTTGGCCCTCAGTCCCAAGGAATGGGACAAGTATATGGATAGAAAAACTTCTTTGAGAAGGGAACCTTGGGAGTAGTTGAGTAGTCACATCCAATTGAAGGACACGCTTACCCAAAGGGACCTCACAGCCTTACCACATCCCCACTCTGATCTGCTGGTGTTCTGCAGCAAAACACGGTGGCTTTCCACGGAGGTCCAGTAGTCAGAAAGTGGAGAGGGGTCCGGAAGGCAACATAAGATGGTAAAAGTTTTACTTCCTCTCCTCAGGACTCAAAGACTTGATGGCTCCCCCAAATGGCACCCTGACATCCTGAATGCTGCTCCAAGGTGGAATGGCCTTCCTGCTTTATGAACGCTCTGACCTACCTCCCTGAACACAGGTCGTAAGAACTTCTGGATATCAAAAAGAACCCGAAAAATGGGCCTCCCTAAACGCCCCCAGGTTCGTTTTTCTCCACTCACCTTTATGTCGTCCAATTGCCCTTCTGCCCAACTGTTCATAGTTTACCCTGTGGCTTTGGGTCTTCATACCTGAAGACTCCAAGGTCATGAGAAACTTTTGATTAAATAAACTAGCTATGGCTCTACCCTGCAAATCTGCCTTTATGATGAAGTGTGAGTGATGGCTTTGCAAGGACTGAGAGAGGGTCCCTTTCTCCCCCGTGCCCTCCAACCTATTTCCCTGGTTATCGTTCATGCTTTTGCTTTTCAACCCCTTTGTATTTAGGTCAGTTCTCTCAAACCCTTCCATTTGAGAACACAAAGGGCAATGCTCACCAGAACAGATCATCAAGACGGGAGAATTTTCTGCCCCTTTCAACATAGTGCTCTCAGTCCTCCAAGGTTCTAAACTGCCTGTGGCATCTGTTGAGTCACCCTGGGCAGTCACAGCCGCTGATCCACTACAGAGTCAGATCCCTATGTACACAATGCTCTAGCCCTGCAGAGTGTAAACTAACTCCCATGGCTTCCTATCTCTAGGCCTTTGGAGACATTCTTGCAAGCAAGAGTCATCCTGGCACCCAGTGTCTCTGACAGATGTTGCCAACTTCCATGTGCACGAGAGAGGCCCTGATGGGATTTTGAAGGGGCAGAGCTAGCTCTGGAAGGGATGCAGGCTCTAAACACATCGGGTCATTCTGTGTACACACTGAGAAGATCATCATTCTCCCTGAGCTCCAGCTCACAGCAGGAGACAAGCACAGACACAGATGTCAGAGCTAAAAGAAGCCCCAGAGACCAGCTGGTCCTAGCCCTCGGGGATACAGACCCATGGGCTAAGGGACCAAGGCAATGAGTCCTAACATAGTACAGCTGGAGTTTAGAGTATCCACTCACTTCCTTGCATCCCCCTGTGGCCTTCACTAATTCATCCTCCCTGTCAGTGAAGATCTGCTGAGCACCTGCCATGTGCAGGGCACCAGGCTGAGAAGCAGGTGTCCATGCCATGGGAGCCAAGACTGGTGTTACCCTGTCTTCACAGAGCCCATCACTAACCCTCACCACAACCTTGTAAGACACGCTAGACTCTTGAAGACCAAGTAATCCAGTCTACACAGCAATGATGCTTAAAGTACATAGGAAGACGGTCCTCTGTGAGTACAGGACCTGGGCTGTGAGTACAAGGCCTTGGTTACAGTCAGCACAAAGATACTGACATTTCTAAAGAGAAAATGGCATCCCTCTAAAGAAAGTTAGGCTGGGCTTAGAGGAAGACAGAGGATAATAAAGACTTTATTAGAGCTCTGCATAGGGAACCCCAACTCTCCTGTGATGGGTTCCCCACTTTTCTTGAAGACCCTGCTTTGCTTCATCTTTGGGGAAATTGGATTTTCTTTTATAAACTGATTCTCTGACACTAAGAGGACTCTAACCATCAGAAGGGTTGAGCTCAGCCTAGGCCTAGCCTGTAACCCATATTGCCTTCCAACGCAGGCCCACTGTGGAACCAAAAGCCTCATGTCATCCATGTGAGAAGCGTCTGCCAGTGACTTTCACAGTGAAGAACAGGGCCTCCATGCTAACAATCCATGTTCACACAGAGGTTCCACCAGTTGAGGCTCTACAAGTCTTTGGTTAGCAAGTCGCTACTCACTTGGAGTCTTAGTTTCCTCACTTATACAAAAAAAGATCGCAATTCTTGCTGTAATTCTGTGAGGCAAGAGTGATTTGCATTACAATTTAAAATGTTTAGTTGAATGCCTTGCACATAGTCAGAACTCGAGAATTGCTGTGACAGTGATATCACATGTACTCGGTACTAAGTGATGGTTATCCACATTAATGATGAACTGTCAAGTACTTTACAATAATAAAATTATGACTTTTTGCTGGGTAGCATTATTTTAAATCAGCTTTAATTTTCTTCTTAATCTTATAAAGAAATGTGCATTCTTCATTCCTCGGCATGGGAGAAAGTAAAGGCAGAAGAGTATAATTAAAAACACTCATAACCTCACAATCTAGAAATTACCACTGTTAACATAATGTGGTTCTCTCCAGCATATCCATGTGTGTATTTGTAAACAGGTAAGTTTTACATAATGAGATCATATCTTACATGTATGACCATTTGTCAAAGAAAATGGTTTTATGCTATTTTATGTACCATAAATTGCAATAACCATTCCTTCACTGTAAGGTTTTAGAGGGATCCCCCACCCAATATTTTTTCCATCATAACTCATTCTTTTATAATTTTTAAAATTAATTTATTTTTTACATTCCAATCCCAGTCCCCCCTCCCTCCTCTCCTACTTCCCCCACTCACCCACCCCCACTTCCCATCTGCTCATCCAAGAGGGTAAGGACTCCCCTAGGAAGTCTACCAAGTCCGTCCTATTATCTTGTTGAGGCAGGACCAAGGCACCTCTCCACCCACCACACCCCTGTATCTAGGCTGAGCAAAGTATCTCTCCATATAGAATGGGCTCCACTGAGTCAGTTTGTTCATAAGTGTTAGATCTTGGACTCATTGCCAGTGACTTCATATATTGTCCCAGTCACACCATTGTCACCTATATTAAGGGAGTCTAATTAAGTCTTATGCAGGTTCCCTGTTTGTCTGACCTGAGTCAGTGATCTCTCATTAACTTGGGTCAGCTGATTCTATGGGTTTCCCCATCATGGTCTTGACTCCTTTGTTCATATTGTCACTCCTCCCTCACTTCGATTGTACTCCATGGTCTTGGCCCATTGGTTAGTTGTAGATTTCTGCATCTGCTTCCATCTGTTTCTGGAAGAGGGTTCTGGAAGAGGCTGAGTATCTTCTGCTTTATTTCTGGTATTCACTTATGAGTGAGTACATACTATATTTGTCTTTCTGGTTTTGGGTTCCCTTACTCAGGATGATTTTTTTCTAGTTCTGTCCATTTACCTGCAAATTTTAAGATGACATTGTTTCTTATTGCTGAGTACTCCATTGTGTAAATGTACCACATTTTTTTTTATCTTCAGTTGAGGGGCACCTAGGTTGTTTCCAAGATCTGGCTATCACAAATACTATTGCTATGAACATAGTTGAACAAATGTCCTTGTGGTGTGAATGTGCCTTCTTTGGGTATATGCCCAAAAGTGGTATTGCAGGGTCTGGAGGTAGGTTGATTCCTAATTTTCTGAGAAATCACCAGATTGAATTCCACAGTGGCTGTACAAGTTTGTATTCCCACCAGCAGTTGAGGAGTGTTCCACTTTCTCCATATCCTCTCCAACATAAGCTGTCATTGGTGTTTTTATTTTATGTTTTTTTATTTAAATTAGAAACATGCATGCTTCAAATGTCAATCCCGGCTCCCCCTTCTCCCTCCATCAGACCCACCCCACCCCCACCCCCACCTCAATCCCCACATCATCCCCAGGGAGGGTAAGGCCCTCCTTGGGGGGATATCCAGAGTCTGTCATTTCATCCAGGGCAAGACCTAGGCCCTTCCCCATGTGTCCAGGCTGAGAGAGCATCCCTCCATGTGGAATGGGCTCCCAAAGTTCATTTGTATGCCATGGTTAACACTAGTCTACTACCCAAAGCCCCAGAGATTTCTGAGGCCTCCTCACTGACACTACATTCATGGAGTCTGGATCAGTCCCCTGTTGGCCTCTTAGTCATCAGTCTAGGGTTCAAGAGCTCCCCCTTGTCCAGTCAGCTGTCTTTGTGGGTTTTACCAGCATGGTCAGTTCAGTGTTTAGTTGTGAGTATCTGTCTCTGCTTCCATCAGTCACAGGATGAAGGTTCTAGGATGTCACATAAGGTAGTCACCAACCTTATCATCAGGTAAGGGCTATTAATGTAGTCTCTCTGCTATTACTTAGTTTTCCAGTTGGTGTTATCCTTGTACATCTCTGGGAATCTCACTAATGTCAGCTCTCTCCAACTATAATGACTCCAACTATTATGGTATCTCTCATCTGGTCTCCTCTATTCTTACCCTGACTCAACCATCTGGCTCCCCCATGTCTTCTTCTACCCTCCTCTTATCCCCCTCTCTTTTTCCTGGTTCCCTCTCTTCCCCCCCCCATGTTCCCAATCTGTTCAGGAGATCTTGTCTCTTTCCACTTCTCTGGGGTATAATGCATATCTCTTGGGAACCTCCCTGTTTCCCAGACTCACTGGCCCTGGGATTGTAGGCTGACACTCCCCTGATCCATGTCTAAAATCCATATATGAGTAAGTACATACCATGTTTGTCTTTTTGTGACTGGGTTACCTCACTCAGGATGGTTTCTTCTACTGCCATCCATTTGCCTGCAAATTTCAAGATTCCGGTTTTTTTTTTCAGCTGAGTAGTACTCCATTGTGTAAATGTACCACATTTTCTCTATCCACTCTTCAGTTGTGGGGCATCTAGGTTGCTTTCAGGATCTAACTATTACAAATAATGCTGTTATGAACATAGTGGAACAGACATCTTAGTCATTCTGCTCAGTGTTAAGATGGAATCTCACAGGGGTTTTGATTTGCATTTTCCTGATGACTAAGGATGTTGAGCATTCCCTTAAATGTCTTTCCGTCATTTAAGATTGTTCTGTTGAGAAGTCTCTGTTTAGATCTGTACCCCATTTTTAATTGGATTATTTGGTAGTTTGATATCTAGTTTCTTGAGTTCTTTGTATATTTGGGAGATCCGCCCCCTGTCAGATGTGGAGTTGGTGAAGATCTTTTCCCATTCTGTAGGGAGCTATTTTGTCTTATTGACTGTGTTTTTTGCTTTAAAGACATGTCTCAGTTTCAGGAAGTCCAATTTATTAATTGTTGTTCTCAGTGTCTGTGCTACTGGTATTTTATTTAGGAAACGGTCTCATATGCCTATGCGTTCAAATGTATTTTCCACTTTCACTTGTGTGAGGTTTAGTGTGGATGGATTTATATTGAGTTCTTTGATCCATTTGGACTTGAGTTTTGTGCGTGGTGATAGATATGGATCTATTTGTATTCTTCTACATATTGGCAGCCAGTTATACCAGCAGCATTTGTTGGATATGTTTTTTTTCCATTTTATATTTTTAGCTTCTTTGTCAAAAATTAGGTGTTCATAGATGTGTTGGTTGATATTGGAGTCTTTAATTCAGTTCCATTGGTCCACCTGTGTGTTTT